TATTTTTATACCCTTGCAGAGCAAAAGGGTATTATAATTTCAGTCAGAAGTTTGCAACGCAGTGAAGGAGACACCATAAAGTATATATATTCTTGATCAGAATCACGAGCAGAATCGGAATACGTCTGCACGTCTGTCCGTCTGTGCGTCTGTCCATCTGTCCGTTTGTCCGTTTCCGCGCAAACTAGTCTCTCAGTTTTAAAGCTATCTTGATGAAACTTTCCCAAAAGGTGTGTAGTCATTGCACGCAGTATATAAGTCGGAACGGGCCGGATCGGCCGACTATATCGGATACTTCCCATACGAGAGAATGAAATAAAAAATTCTCACGTCGTTGTTTTTGATCAGATCGACTTGATTTCTTCAAGATGGCGTTTTCGAACTGTTATTGAATTTCGAATTTGATCAAAATCGGATAACTCTATCATATAGCTGCCATAGGAGAGTTCGAAAAATATATATAGAATTAATAGATATAAATTTATAACATCGTTGTTTTTTATCCCACGAGCACGATTTTTTGAATATCAAGTTTTTTAACAACTCTCATACTGAGAAAAAAGTTTCATAAAAAATCGGGCAACTATATCTTATAGGTGCCATAGAAAAGATCGAAAAATCTATATAGAAATAACGGAAATAAAATTATAACATCGTTGTTTTTCAGACGACTCTTGAATTACGAATTAAATTTGATCAAAATCGGACAACTATATCATATAGCTCCCATATGATCTATAGTCGAAAATATGGAAAATGAATAGAAAAATCGTCTTAGCTTCGATGTTGTTTAACCTTTAGGCATTTTGTTCGACATATTTGATGACTGCAAGGGTATAGCTTCCTTTCTTTTTTTTACTTAAATTAGAGTAATCAACGTCGGTCTAAAGCTTTTTGAAGCCATTTATTATGCAAGCTTCAAGAGTTTTGACTTTATCTTACAAATCCATGTTGACATGGAGATATAATTGATGATCTACAACACCTTTGTAAGTGGGGGGTTAAAAACTTTTTCGAAACAAGAAAGGAAGCTAGTTTTGGCTATCCGATATATGTCGAATAAGATACATAAATGTTAAAAAGCATAGAAGCTATGTCAATTTTTCTATTGCGTTTCTATATTTTCGAAGATTATTAATATAACAGCTATGTGATATAGTCGTCCGATTTTAATGAATGTTAATTCAAAATTCGAGAGTTATTAAAAAACTCTAGATTCCAAAAAATTTGCCTATTTGATGAAAAACAACGATGTTATCTTTTTTTCCTCCAATTTTTGTTAGTTCTATATAGATTTTTCGATTCCTATGCCATCTTACAAATGATATATGTAGTTATTTTTCACTCGATGCAAGGGTAATTCAAAAAGGCGATTTTCCAAAAATCATGCTCGTATATATATTTTTCGATCTTTCCTATGGTAGGTATATGATATAGTCATCCGATTTGGATAACATTTGAATAAACAAAAGCTAGCTTCCTGCTTCGGCAAGCCGAAGCTTATATACCCTTGCAGTCATCAAATATTTCGAACAGAATACACAAAGACTAAACAACATCGAAGCTACGACGGTTTTTATACTCATTTTCTAAATTCTTCATATGACAGCTACATATATGATATAGTCGTCCAATTTTGATCAAATTTAATTTGAAACTCAAGACTAATTAGAAAACTCTATGTTCCAAAAATTTAATTGTCTATTGAAAAACAACGAGGTAATCATTTTATTTCCGTTATTTCTATATAGATTTTTCGATTTTTCCTATGGCAACTATATGATATAGTACCTACTCTAGTTTTTATGAAATTTTTTTCTCGATTTAAGAGTATTTAAAAAACTTGATGTTCCAAAAATCATGCTCGTGGGATTAAAAACAACGACATTATAATTTTTTTCCACTATTTATACCTGTATATATTTTTTGATCTCGCCTATGGCAGCTATATGATAGAGTTATCCGATTTTGATCAAATTCGAAATCATGATTTTCTGATGAGAAATAACGATGTTATCATTTTATTTCCGTTAATTCTATATAGATTTTTCGATCTTGCCTATGGCAGCTATATGATATAGTTGACCGATTTTTATGAAATTTTTTTTATAAATCAAGGCTAGTTAAAAAATTTGATACTCAAAAAATCATAGTCGTGTGATGAAAAACTATGACGTTATCAATTAATTTCCATTAATTTTATATATATTTTTCGATCTCTCCTATGGCAGCTATATGATAGAGTTATCCGATTTTGATAAAATTTAACCCGAAATTCGACAGTAGTTAATAAACACCATCTAGAAGAAATCAAGTCGATCCGATCAAAAACAACGGAGTGAGAATTTTTTTTTTCAATCTCTCTTATGGGAGCTATCCGATATAGTCGGCCAATCCGGCCCGTTCCGACTTATATACTGTGTGCAATAACTACACACCTTTTGGGAAAGTTTCAGCAAGATAGCATTAAAACTGAGAGACTAGTTTACATAGAAACAGACAGACGGACCGACGGACAGAAGTACAGACGGATTTCGATTCAGATCGTGATGCTGATCAAGAATATATATACTTTATAGGGTCTGAGGTGCCTCCTCCACTGCGTTGCAAACTTCTGACTGAAATTATAATATCCTTTGCTCTGCAAGGGTATAAAAATACCATCTGAAAGAAATCAAGTCGATATGACCAAAACCAACGCTAAATTTTTTAATGACTCTCAAGTTTCGATTTAAATTTCATTGAAGTCGGACGACTATATCATACAGCTTTCAAATGAACAATCGCCTAAAATATAGATACTTAATAGAAAAATTAACATAGCTTCGATATTGCTTAGCCTCTATGTATTTTGTTCGGCATATTTGAATTCTGGGTATATAGGCTTCGGCTTGCCGAAGCTAGCTTCCTTTCTTGTCTTTTGATAATGATAACTGCCTGATATATGATAAGCCTCTGCGGCCGCTTGTCTCCACGAGAGATATGCATCCTGACCCCCGCGAACTCGGGTAGACATTTGACGGCATCCAGGGGTTCGTTACACTGAACATCATCCCAGATTTGTATGGCGGAGTATATTCTTATTTATAGGGCAGGCGTCAGGCGTTCGGCTGCGGCAGGTGCCTTGCGTAATTCTGCAACTTGGCCGGCCAGCGAATTAATTGTACTTCTCTTTTTCGATTTGTGGCGGCCTGTTCTGTTAACGCGTTATAAATTATTGGTGTCGATGGCCGTAGTGCCGGCGGAAGGCGTGGGTACTATGGGTAGTTCTACCCACCTGGAACTTTTAAAGGTGGGTAATTACCCACCTGAATCACACCGAATTTTTTCGTAAGCGAATAAAGGAACATAAAGGAACCCTCCCCGCTCATCGTCTTTCAGGAAAATTACCCACCTGGATTCAAAACGTCTCGCCGCCCCTGGATGCCCGAATGAGTTGTTCACCTTCAATCGCTAGGGTATCGTTTAGCGCTTGTATACTGAAGGAATGGCGAGCGCATATGCAGCTGAGCTAAACTGAACAAACGAAAAAAAAATCAACCAAACCAAAAAAAAGACGAAGTTAGTGAAATGCGGGCTTGTATCCCTTCATGGTGAAGGTCACTTAAATACGAAGCTAGCAAATTTGGCGTTGTTCCGCAAAGAGTACAATAAGTTTATAATTGTTTATTATTTTCCGAGCAGCGCTTTCGCGCATCTGCTTGGGTAGAGGTTAGTAAAATTTATTGTGAACTATATGAAATATAGCGTATGGTGGGTGTAGGGGTAGTGAATCACTTGACTCTTGTTGAAATCAAACTCAACCACAATATCTAATTTATTAATAAAATTCTGAATTTTATTTAACAAATTCTTCTATTCTTTTCCTTTATTAATATTTTTACTTTTTTCTTGGAACTGCAGACGGTAGTTTTAATTAAAGTTTTTGCATTGCCCGTTTAATTAATATATTTTACGCAGGTTTTTTTTTAGAAAATAAATAGAAAAACGTGCCCACTTACATGAATTTACTAGGTATGCTGTTTTCTCAGATCTTGTATTACCAAAAAAACAAAACCTTTTGGGAAGAGGATTGGGTTTATTCTATCGTTGAGCGCCAATTAATAATATTTCGTTGTCCTCGGTGTATGCGACATGTAACATCTAATGTCTCACCAAAGTACTCGGTCAGGAACCACTTGTAGTGGTCGCCTGTGGATATCAGGGACACAAGGGGGTGCCCGTAGCTGGCCGCACCGAATAGCTGAACTGCTTGTGCCCTTTGCTGCTAACCTGTAGAGGGGACCGTTACCGGGACCGAACAATTTGTAGATGCGGGGTAGGTGACAGTCGTTAGCCACACTTTGTCACTGAGTAGTCGTACCGCAACACCAGTCTTTAGGAGAAGAGAGAATCCGACAGGAAGCAGGATCTCTATCAATAACCGAATTTATGCTGAGTGGAAACTGTCTTTTTTAACTACTAGCCTTAAGCTATTAACAACCGTCGTCGGAGTTGATTTTATGAGCTAATGCTCTTTATTCGTTTGAATCTAAAGTTTAACTAAATACAACTCTTTTACTTAAAGCTAACATAAGTTGGAAAATCATAACGGCCACGCAAATATGCTGTGTCAGCGATTTCGCCGTTGCTTGGGTACATTCGGACGTCGACTCTGTCTGGTTGACTTCAGTTAACTTATATTTACAACATTTAATTTCTATTAAAATAACAATATTCAGTTAAATACCCCTTTTGCAAAAAAGCACAAGGGAAATGAAAAGTCATGTAACCTATTCATTGTTGGATTCCTTTGTAATCTTACAAATTTCTTTGTTTTATTCAAAAATAGTAATAATTATTTTACATACAAAATAAAGTTAAGTAATTAAATTTGTATTATTTATAAAAACTAGTTAAAGATTACGCAACTGTAAAACCTTGATGAAAAATATTGTATTATGTAAAACGACTGTAAGGCTTCCTTTTTTATTTACTGATCAATCTCATTGTATTTAAAGGTAAAAGTGACAGTGCTTCCGTACAGAAATTGGAAGAACAATTGGGATTGCTAAAGGATGAATATGCAAAGCAGCAACATATTTATACGGAACTACAGCATAAGTACAACAAAATTATTGCAACATCAGCTAATGAAGAAATCTCAAAAGACCTTGGCAACTTGGTTTCACGGCTGTCGTTGACAGTTGCTTCATTATTTGGTACTCATACTTATGCTGATATCTACATACGAAATCATGAGAAAATATTTCCGGCTCATAAGATCGTCCTTCATGCACGGTCAAAGAAATGGGGAGATGATGTGTTAACAAACACAGAGGAGCTGGACTGGAGCGATTTTAATGAGGATGTTGTGTTAGCACTTTTGCGATGGATTTACACAGACCTTATTGATTTGCAGAATGACGAACTAGCTTTGGATCTTCTTAGAGCATCACATCGATTTGGTTTGTCATCTCTTTTTAGACTGTGTGAGTTGGCGTTAGTTGCTTCCGTAGAAGAAAGATCTTGTATACGATTTTATTGTGTTGCGAAACAAGTGGCTTCAACAACTCTGTTAGACTATTGCTCTGGTATAATATCAACGCACTGGGAAGATCTTACAACGCAAGACTTTGAACACATGACCGGATCCTTAATGCTTGAAATGCTAAGGACCAAAACAAATTATCCACTTCATACTGCTGTTAGACTCCAACGGGATGACGTTGTAAGCCTTATTTTTCAAGAAAATGGTGATGAAGTAAGTACTTTTTCTTATTATATTAATAGATAAATCCAGGTAAAATATTCAAATACAAATCTGTTAGTTCCATATCTTGATCAGTATTTTAAAATATCACACCTCTAAAAGTTAGTCTAGGATATATGGTATGTATCTGTTACAAATTAAATTTAAAAATCCGCTGCAGCGAGTTTTATAGATATAGTCAAGAATTTCAAATGGTTATGATATGCGTACTTTTACCAAATATCTGACATTTATATTCGTAATTGCCAACGAAAATTGGAAAGACCAATGCTAAATTTATAAAAAAAAAAAACAACAACAAGGTATCGTCATATTTTCATACTGATATTTTTAAGAAATTGTTTTGAATTTGGTCTACACAAATACAAAATTCTGTTTTGTTTCTAAGTTTTTCTTAGTTTATTCTGAAAAACGTGTTTTTTTTTAAATTGTAACAAAAAATTGATTACTACAAAATCAGCGAGATTTCTTTGACTGATCCGCAAAAAATAAACAATGAGTAAATTCAAGTTTGATCGGAATCTTTCCAACAGTTTTAGTTATGCATTTCGAAGGTGACCGACACCTTCGCCCTCAATAAATACAAATCTTCAAAATAAGCAACTGGAAAGTTTTACTGTGTTATTAAAAACGCTGTCATTAAAAAAACCTCTTAAACAGGTGGATTCTATAAACCGTAGAAAAAATTACTTTATCATTTAAGAACAAGTTATTGCTTTGCTCGGCTATCAACTCCAATTTTCCAAACACTAACGCCTGAATTTTTCGAAATTTTGTTTCGCCTCGAAGTTCTTGCTTATGTTCTTGCTTATGTGAACCTCTGTGTGCTGTGGGAGTGAGCAAAAAATTAGGCATAGGTTTTATCGTAATGATTACTTTCCGATTTAAGAACAGGTATTAGTAAAAAGCTTATATTTATGTTAACAAGAAAGGAAGCTAGCTTCAGCTTGCCCTTGCAGTCATTAAATTTGTCGAACAAAATACATAAAAGCTAAACAACATTGAAGCATTGTTCACATGACAGCTATATGATATAGCTGTTCAATTTTGTTAAAATTTAATTCGTAATTCAAGAGTCATTAGAAAACTCTATATTCCAAAAATCATGCTTGTCTGATAAAAAAAACAGCTATATGATAGAGTTATCTGATTTTGATACAATTTAACCCGAAATTTAATAGTAGTTAGAAAACGCCATATGGAAGAAATCAAGTCGATCTGATCAAAAACAACGGCGTAGGAATTTTTAATTTCATTATCTCATATGAGAGCTATCCGATATAGTCGCCCGATCCGTTTCGACTTATATACTGGGTGAAACAACTACACAACTTTTGGTAAAGTTTGAGCAAGATAGCTTTAAAACTGAGAGAATAGTTTCAAGATAAACAGACAGACGGACAGACTGAGGGTCTGAAGTGTGCCTCCTTCACTGCGTTGCAAACTTCTGACTGAAATTGCTCTGCAACGGTATAAAAAAATTAATCGGTCTGACGTCATTTTTGGGAAGCCTCGGGAAACAGGTTCGCCGTCGTATTTACCGTGTTTAGTAAGGAATAAAGAAAGTTAAAGTTTTGGCAGTGGTTTTTACGAGAAAATGCAAATTTTGTCTTATAATTTGCGACATTTAATAGTTTAAGTTGAAACTAAAATCCTTTAAAACTATTGCTCGAAACGATTTGAAGTTTTGGGGCAATATTCCAGACATTTTGCAAACTTTAACAAAAAAAAAGATTTTTTAAAACAGTGAAGCATTGTAACTCCTTAATGTGTGTCTAAATCGTCATGCCTTTCAATGGGTTCCAAATCAATAACACAAAAACTTTCAGTGCCACAAATTGGTCCTGTATTTACCCACAAATTATTTTAAAAATTAAAAATACCAATCCAAAATGCTATACCATTGTATTTACATTTAAAGTTCTCGAAATCTCGTCGTTCATACGGACAGGAAGATATAGATAGACTCGTGTGTTAATCCTGATTCAGTGTAGAGTATGTTTACCCTAGTGTAGAACGAAGGAGGAGATAGAGTTTTTGTAATATGTTAAACGAGTAAGGGGTATATATATTTATGAACCTTTAAATTCACTTTAAAGATAAAAATAACAAATATAGCAAGTAATAAATTATTGTTAGGGCTATTACAACTCGCTGGATTACAAAGATTTCCACGACAATAGCAGTGTTTTTTTACTGCTCCTCCCAAAATATCGGTCTTGATAAGAGTACAACCCTCATCATAAACTTCCTGAACTAAATGTTCTTGTTCCCAATGTTTATTGCGAAAGATCTGAAAATAAGTTAAGTGGTAACAAATTAGAGATGTCCCTGAATTCTCGTAGGGGAGGGTGGTCCCATACCGACCCCCTAAAAGGCAAAAGCGATAAAGGTGAGAAAAATCAATTTTTCAGTTCAGTTCAAAAATTTACTATGTAGAGGGATCAGTTTACTATACATCTAAATGATTAGTAAGTGCGTAGGTGCTTTGAAGCGTTAGATATTCAGGCAAATATAAAACTCTACTTTTTGGTCGTACTCAAAAGTAGTGGTCCGAAACCGACCCCCTATTTCTTAACAGAAAAATTTAATAACATAAAATAGAATTTAATGATTTTGACGTTTATTAAGAAATATATTGAAGGTTCTTTCCAGAAAATAAAAATTACTGTATGAAATAAAGGGCACTGTAGTCAATTGATGAAGTCTGAGTTGTCCTCTTTCTCATAGTAAGTTTTCGCGTTGTTTTCGAGTTGTTTTTCGAAAGCCGCTCGTTGATGACTGTCTCTTCGCTTTCTTCTGATGTGTTTTGATGTTTCTGTTACTTTTCTTTACTGAATCTTGTTTACTTTTTCATATTTTCCCTCAAAAATACGCTATGACATATTAAGCTGCCAATAAATGGGGGTCGGTTTCGGACCATAACCTAGCGGTCGGTTTCGGACCACCACGACCTTTTCTTATTAACTGCTCGGCATTAACTAAAGACGCAAAGAGCGATGTAATTCTAATTATGTGAGTGAAAGCTAGGACTATCAACTATCAGAAAACCTTACCCTCCGATTTTTATGCGGAGAAAAAAATTTTAAAAATATTTAAGCTCAAGTTCAGAAAAGAAAAAAAACTGAATGTCAGAGGCGTTGAAACAAAACAAACGGAAAAATTGCAGTAAAACAAAAGAAGTCAAATTGGCTATCTATCTCCAAAATGTCTGTGTTATAACAGCTTTTCACTGAAGTTACCGACAATTCGGCTAGCATCGCCATCTCTGAGAAACATGGGGGGGGTCGGGATGGTACGACCGGTCGGTATGGGACCACTCTCCCCTACTTTTTTTAAACAGCAAAAAGGCATGCAGCGGCAAACCCCTTAAGGTTTTAACTATTTCCATCAATTTGATTTCCCTTTTTCGAATTGGCAAAAATAGCAGAAAAACAAGAACGGAAGCTTGCTTCGGCGAGCCGAAGCCAATATATTTATTTATTACTATTATCTTTTTTCTTAGATATTCAACAGTCTTTAGAAAACTCGGCACGATTTTAGTTTCCGGGGCGCCAAGATTTGAGGGCACCTTTTGGGTAATTGGCCCAAAATAAAAACTTTTAATAAAACAACATTTTTCGATATCTCACACCGTTTACGAGATATCGAGCCTTAAATGTCGGCTATTAGTGTGGTCGTTACACGTCACGGTTACGGGCTACGGGAGAAAATCTCTTGATTCTCTTTTCAAGCGAACGGTCGTGTTTTTTTGTGCGCTCCGAATTTTTCATTTTATTGATACAACCAGCGGTGGTTCTGTTATCAAATTTGAATATTAATTTGCTTAAATACCTTTGTGTTCGAAACCGTTCGCTTCGCGAGTGAATTTTTGTGCATTTAACGATTTATTTAATGGTTTAATTTTTGTCTTACTGACTTTCTTTTGTGCTTCGTCCGTCAACAGTAGTGTTGTTGTAACAAGTGCATGCACATTAACTGTCCCCGCTCTTCCGCTCTCTCGCTCTCCCGCTCTTCTTTTTTTGGACTAACAAACTCGAAAGTTCTAAGCGTGCAATTGTTGCGGTACATTTGAGTTTCTTGCTTTAAAATTTCGATTTCAATTTCTCTTGGCACAGTGGTCCCTGATTTAATAAACATGGAATCTTGCAATTTCTGTTTAAAAAAACCTGCCTTCAGTTAATAAAGCCTGAGCAGGGTAAACTCACTTGTTGGCTTTGTGACAGGATGGTGCACACTAAGTGCGCTGGATTCACAGGGCGGACAAGTGATGATCTAAGTAAAGGCCTTGGTTTACAGTTCTGCTGCGAAGCTTGTCGCGAAGTTGCGAAGGAAATGAAGTCCTTCATGAGCCAAACTAAAGGCGGCCTTAAGGGACTGATCGCTAGTTTTGGCATAGCTAGAGATAGTTTTGCCAGGGCTAATGATCTACTCTTAGCGCTGGACTCGGAGTTTAATAGCCTTAAGCTATTAGAGGAGTCCCCGAAGCGCAAGAGGGCTGCTGGTGGTAGGCCTGAGGGAGTCGCCCCGCAACTCCGAAGAGACCGGCAGAACTCCTCTGCGGATGAGCAGCCGACTTTAGCAACCCCTCAAATGTTGCTAAGATCGGCAGCCAAAAAAGATTCGGACCCCGATCAATCCACAGTGGAGTGTAGACCAACGCCTCTAAAAAGTTCCGATTTGTCCGAAGGTGGTTCTCAAAATGTAATTCCACCTAACCAACCAAATATACCCCCACAAGAGGCTTCTGAGACCGGACTACCTATATAGTGCTATAGTGCGCGCGCTCTTGTGCATTGATACATATGCTATATTATTTTTTGAGGTAATTGTCTTCGGCCAAAAGTACCGCAAATATTGCAAGTTCCGCGAAAAATATGTGCAATAAGTAATTTCGCCCGCTACAAGCTCTCACTATAATCCGACATTTTTAAGCTCGATATCTGGTAAACGGTGCGAGTAACCGAAAAATTTTTTTATTAAAAAGTGTTGACTTTGGTCCAATTACCCAAAATATGTCCTTAAATCTTGGCGTCCCCGAAACTAAAATCTCCCCGAAAACTCTATGTTCCAAAATTCATTTTTTGAATTGACTACTATCGCATTTTAAATAAAATTTCATAAAAATCGGATGACTATACCATATACCTTCTGTCAAAAAAGTACCGGGACTGGGTTAATAACACTCACATTTTCTATTTATTCATCCAAATTTATTTTGTCGCCTTCAAAGTAGTCCCCATTAGAGGCAATATACATATGCCAGCGATTCTTCCAGTCTTCGAAACATTTTTTATAAGCGTTTTCCGGGATAGCCTTCAACTCCCGTGCCGAATTTTGTTTAATGTCTTCAATGGTGCTAAAACGGGTTCCACGAAGCGGCAACTTGAGTCGAGGAAACAAAAAGAAGTCGCACGGAGCTAAATCTGGCGAATACGGAGCTTGTTCGATGGTATTTATCGAGTTTTTGACCTTGTATTCGTTGACAATGGTAGCTCGATGCGGCGGCGCATTGGAACAAGCCGTGCAGCGACTCGTTTCATACCCAAACGGTCAGTCAAAATGGTACGAATTGACTCGTGAGAGATGTTCAGGACTTGTGCTATCTCTCGTAAGCTGACATGATGATTTTCAAAAATAAATTCCTTCACTGCATCGATGTTAGTGTCGGTGAGAGAGGTGGATGGTCGTCCCGAACGAGGCATGTCTTCGAGAATCTTACGACCCTCTTGGAATGCTTTGTACCACTCAAAAGCACGTGTTCTCGATAAAACTGCATCACCATAAGCCTTCTGCAACATTTTTAACGCGTCAGTACAAGAAATTTTGTTCGCAACACAAAATTTAAGACAAATTCTTTGTTCAATATAGTTGTTCATTATAAAATTCGGCAAGCAATCAGAACATAGACTGACGTAACCAGCGACTGTAAACAAACTACTTCACAGATCGCGATCAAACTTTACTTAGTAATGCAGAACAGTGTTACCAACATAACAAAAAAAAAATTTTCGAAATCGGTTTAGCACAGGCGTTTTAATTAATCCAGTCCCGGTACTTTTTTGACAGAAGGTAGCTGTCATATGAACAATTGTCGAAAATATAGAAACTTCATAGAAAAATCGACATATGTAGCTTCGATGTTTTTTAGCCTCTGTGTGTTTGGTTCGAAATATTTGGTGTATAAGCTTCGGCTCTTCTTGTTTCTTATTTTTTCCCCGCTCGTATTATGAACGCAGTTTATTTTAAAATATTGCTTTTATGGGTTAATCGGATTGTATACTTATTTCGAGAAATCAAATCGTTTTTTATACTATACCCATTCAATCATTAAACTGGATTCATACTCTTTAAAAAATAAACATCTGTAATAGCATTGACAAATGGCCGATGATCTCAAGATTAAGAATTTTTTATGGTTTTAAAAATTTGACCACACCTGAGTTGTATTTTTTTGTTGGGCACATCCTCTGGTAACAGCTTCTTGGTTCTGGCCATTTTGTAGGCGCAGAATTGAAATAGATTTCAAACACATCGTTGAATATGGGCACGGTACGATGTAATTAGAAGACTTTTGAAACTGCGAACACAGTGGTGTAGTAATCGATTTATTGTCTACAACATATTTTTCAATAGATACGGAGCACTTAAAGCATTTTAATACTTCAGCCAAGGAATGTTCGGCTGTAATAAAAATATAAAAATAGTTTTTAAATTTTTTTATATGAAAAAATTAAATACATAGTTGTTAAATTTTTTTATATGAAAAATTTTTGGGAATAACCAAGTTTTTGTTTATTTCCCTACTTTTTAATATCCTTATTAAACGATTCAAAAATTAAATTTTTAGCTTATTCAACTTTAATATATCTATGTACATACATACATAAAATAAAACATAAAAAGTTGACAATTCTAAAAAATCAACTCAACTATGGCAATGAGCAAACAATAATATTATACCGCTTTCACTTGGCACCTTTTTGAAACTTTCTAAAACTTCATTGCTTTTTGCAGGTAATCTATGTACATATGTGTACCTAAGAGTTAATTCTTTCGTATACAATGTACAGAAGTGGACACGAGTTTACCACACTATGCAATCCCCAATTTTGAACTCCAATTTCACCTTTTTATACTCGAGGACTGCAAGAAGGCGATGAAATGATAAAAATGTCCGAGGGTGCATAGCTGTGCAAAAGCCGCACGTATCCAAAAAAAAAAATTGTATGCCAGATTTCAGTTTGCAAAGGAGCATTTGAAAAAACCACTGATTGTTTCGAAAAATTTTCTGTGGGATGATGAATCTAAGTTTTGTCGATTCGGATCTGATAGATCGATCAAATATATTTGTTTCCAAAACCGTTTTTCCAAACAATCAGTGGTTGGACTTCAAGCACATCTTTTTATACTCTCTTAATGACAACAAGAATCATCAGTTAACTTTAACCAAAAAAAAAACGAGACCGCCGGTATTAAAAACTAAAAATTTGAAGAGTGTGCTAAACTGGTGTCCAGCCTGATTTTGAGGTACATATTTAGGTTCAGAGGCTTGGTAAAGGAAAACGGTAAAAGCGAATGGGACAAAATTAACGGTGCATGTTGTCCTATTAATAGAGAAAACGTACATAAAAAAAATTCGGCGAAAAATCTTCGAGGAAAGGTGAAATTGGAGTTCAAAAATGGGGATTGCATAGTGTGCTAAACTCGTGTCCACTACTGTATATGGTGACATGTACATATGTAACTGTCCATTAAAAATGTAATATTAAAACTTCATTGTTTTTAAGCCCATATGCTTAGTTCTCGAGACACTGTTCTTTTTAAGCATTCATGATTATAAAAAAAAAAAAAACAAGAAAAAAAATACATAAAGGTTAAACAACATCAAAGCTACATATCTATGTACATAGTACATACATACATACATATGTGTTGTTTATCCAGTCGGTATCTTAACATCACACGTACGCGTGATCGCGTCAAACAATTGCTGTCATTTCTATCACTAATCAAAGTTTTTGTGCGCCTTTCGCAGCTATTTGCGACCTGACGTTTTCTTTGATCTCTAGAAAATTTTTTGTTAACTTAAATAGACGCAAATTATATTATTTTCATGTATATCTCACGTATTTTAAAATATTCCATTAGCCTGAAAGGTTGTTACAAGTATCCCCACGGGTGCGGATACTTGAACCATTCGAGACAAAAATTTAAAATGCTCATAAAGTTAAAAAAAACGTGACATATTATTTCACAAAATACTTTAAATGCAAAGGAATGATTGCTCTTTTAGATTCCTATAAACAGCATACCCTAACGTCGAATTGTTCAGACATAATAATGTTCAACAAAAAAAGTGGTTCACCTATCCCCACTCTCCCCTATATTTCGTTTGGCATATGATATAGTAATCCGATTTTAACAACATTTAATTCGAAATTTGATAGTAACGAAAACACTATCTGGAAGTAATCTCCTTTACTGGGTTGCAAACTTCTGAATTAAGGGATTATATTTCCCTTTTTTATTTTCAAAAAATCGAAAATTTTTTTATTGCTTTATCTTAAAGAACAACTCCTTGAGAACATTTTCCCAAATTTTCATAGAGATTCGAGCAGTAGAAAAAAAGTTACAGCGCTCCTAACCGCGCGCCTTGTCGCGGCCCGCAACTGAACTTAAAACTTTAAACGCGAATATCTCGAAATGGTGTTTCTTGAAAAATGACTTTGCGGTGATAACGATTGGCGGAAAACTACTGAACCGATTTACTTCAAATTGTTTTCAAATGTTCGTAATGAAATTGTCTTGTGCTTGAACGATCGACTTTTCACGCACAAACTTTTTTTTCGCCGAAATGAATTTTTTAGTGAAATTTCTAGAGACCAAAAAGCTCATTTTTAGCATAAAACGTTCCCGTATGCATAAAAAAACAAAAAATTTTAAAATCGTTCGTTCAAGCACAAGGAATTACACTAAACTAAAGAAATTTTTTACTTTTATGGTTTCGGTTGACCTGTTCGACCTGGGGAATTATTACCGCAAGGCTCTTCAAAAAAAAGGCCTCTAAGGGAAACAGCCATCCCTTAAAAACTATTTAATATTTTTCCACGAAATTTTGCACAAAAATTGTTAATAAAGTGTACTATCAAAAAATTAAAACATCCGTGTAATTAAACAATAACTACATACCTAAAAAAAATACGAACTTTCCTCTTTTTCTTCGACAAAGAAGGTATATAACCCCTTAAATCATAATATGTATGTTGAATAAAATTTTATAAAATATCTCATAAAGCTGGCATATGAAAAATCTTCGAAAATGTAGAAAATGAATTGAAAAATCGTAATAGCTTCCAAGTTGTTTAGCCATTAAGTATTTTATTCAGCACATTTGATGACTGCAAGGGAATATACATAAGCTTCGGTTCGCCGGAGCTAGCTTCCTTTCTTGTTTCGGTAATAATCTTAAACTTCTCCTACATATTTATGTATGTCAGCTAAATTATAAACATATGTACATAACATATGTAGTCTTCCGAGTTCAACAAAACTTAATTCGTAATTCAGGATTGATTAGATTTGGATTATACAAAAAAAAAACGTTCATGTCTGTATACATATGTACAAGTATGTATGTATATGTACAAATTTATAATAATCAGGGCTAACAGAGTTATGTTTTTAAATGAAAAAATATTTATTTCCATATTTTCGCCTTTTTTTCCTATAAATCCATATTTTACACAATCACTTGAATAAATCCATATTTTGAGCATTAAAGTGTCTGAAAACCTATAGAAAGATATGTTTGGCTCAAATACATATGTATTATAAAATTTCTGTCTTTTGCCTTATACTCGATAATAAATAATGTAAACAAAACATCGTTGCGTCGTTAATCAATCAAAATATGTATCATCGAATGTAACAATTATGATGCAGTTTATATTTTAAGATTCAGTTTTTATTCCATATTTCATGCTTTCAGTTCTTATTCTTCAGGACATATCGCGAATGTTAGGAGGAAATCTCATTGATAGTTCTACAGAAGGTGACGATCTTATCCTGAATTTATCACCTGCTGAACTGAATGCATATGCAAATGCTCCTGTTACATCTTGCGATGTTGAGCGTTCATTTTCATCATATAAACACAAACACAACAACATCATACAAACGCCGTAGTTTTGTTTTTACTAATCTGACACAACATGTCATATTGTTCTGCAATGATCTTTGAGACAAACGGCGAACTTTTGTTTGTAGCGATTTCTAATTGTTCATGTCATAAAAAGTTAATATGATCGATATAATCGTCTACGTTTATCCATTTTTATACCTATGTATATTTATCCCTTTTTTCGTCTATACTACCTATATTTATCCATTTTATTCCATATTTGTCAACTTTTTTGTCCATATTTCTCTATTTTTTCGTCCATAAATCCATACATATTTTTACGTTTTTAAGAACATAACTCTGTTAGCCCTGATAATAATCAATACAAACCTAAAACAAATGCAACAGTTAAAATTAAGCTGCAGAGTGATTTTTTCACGCCGTCCATAATTATGCATAGGTATGCATGTGTATATGTATGAACTTAAATATGTATGTGACTTAATGTCAATCAGGCCACGTTTCCTTAAAAGAGCCAATTTATCTGAAATTAAGAATATGTAAATATTTACTTTACTTCAGCTTATTCATACATATGTGCAAAAAACGAACATACACACAGATGCACTTACATATATTAAAATATATGTTTTAACAGTACATGAATGATAAAAAATATTATTTAATTACTCCATATGTATATATGTACAAACCTTTTATTTGTAAAAAAAAGTCCATAAAAAAATGATAATAATTATGTATGTACATATGTACTTAGATCTACCAAACAAGTAAAAGAGAATGAAGTGATGGGTTAAACTAAACAAGAGCTGGCTGTACAAACCGACCGGGCCTCGTATTGTTGGTTAAATCAATTTTTATACGTATGTATGTATGGATGTGTGCATGTACACAAATATGTTTATCACGTCAAAATCATTGAATATGTACACATGTATGTACATACATTGTAGCTAATTTGTATGTATGTATGTTAATCATCAAAGATGCCTAAACGAAGAAGTAACTTTAAACGTTGACGCGTTCGGATGTGTTGAAATGCTCTTTCACACTTTGTAGAAATCGGATCTTATATCAGATTCCCACACAGACACATACATAAAGTTCGTTTCATTTGAATCGGACACCTAGCAACTTTTATGGTTGATCGCTCGTGGCGAAGACAAAAATAGTTGAAAGCTTAAATTTTTTAAAAGTTATAATCTCTGTTCTATTGTGATTCTAAAATTTTTTCATTTTTGCTTTTTATTGAGTTTTTGCACTGCTGCATGGATTTTTGCATGCTGAAAATCGTTTCATTTGGATAGGACCGTTGTCAGTAATCACTTGTGTGTACAGTGCGCAGTTAATTTAAAACGTTTTTTTTTTTTCAATCTGATGCTATTATTGATCAAATGAAACTAAAATAGGCATTTGATTGGATAAAGATGGGAAAATGGATGGGGGAAAATTGATGCATATTTGGACTCAGGCCTTAATGTGAGCCAAATCGCCACGAAAATAAAAAAATCGCGAAATGTTGTAGACGGTTATTGGCAGATAGTGAAAACTATAAAAAAAAATTATAAAGGGCTCCAAAAAACAAAGTTAAACGTCTGAGATAAGCGGCTTATAGTGAAAAAGGCCTCCAATTCCACTTTGTCCTGCGCCGGTTTGGCTCATTATGAGGCCAACAAGGTGTCTAAAACCACCATTTGGCGGACTTTACATACTTGCCAACACTTGGTGCTATCAAAAATGGCAAGTTCTCCAAGAATCACAGAGATCCATCGTCAGGCACAATTTTACAGAAAAAAATATTGAAACGAATTGGCGCTCAGTAAGCCATTCTTAAGGCAGGTTCTCACCTTGTAGGGCCAAAAAATTGACATTTTAAAAAAAAGTGTTTTGAAAAAAGGGTTAAAGATAAAAATCTGAAATTTGTAACTTTATTTGAAAACATATTTATTTTGCGAAAAAAAATTTCAAAATTGTAAAATCAAAAAAGGGGGGAGGGGGCGTTCCTCAGTTGCAACATTTCGGCAAAAAGGGGTCCCGCTTACGGAAGTGATTCAGCCAAAACGGGTGATCAGAAACACAAAAACCGAAAAGATTCTTAAAGTGTACAGTACTGTGCATAAAATAAAATGAACTAGGATCAGAAAAAAAAAATGAAAAAGAACCTGCCTTAAAGGCTCCTGCTAAGCTTTATTTTAATATTTTTTAATGTAATGAAACGATTTCAGCATGCAAAAATCCATGCAGCAGTGCAAAAACTCAATAAAAAAAGTGGGGAAAGCAATAATAAAAAAATATAACTGCATTTTAGAATCGCAATAGAAGTGAGATTATAACTTAAAAAAAAATTTTAGCTTTCAACTATTTTTGTCTTGGCTACGAGCGATCAACTATAAAAGTTGCTAGCAGTCCTATCCAAATGAAACGAACCTTTAAATTTGCTTTGAAGATAAAAATAACAAATAATGTAAGTAATAATAAATTTCCACGACAATATGTTTGTTTTTTTTACTGCTCTTCCCAATATATCGGTCTTGATAAGAGTACAATCCTCATCATAAACTTCCTGAGCCTAATATTCCTGTTCCCAATGTTTACTGCGAAAGATCTGAAAATAGGTTAAATGAAGTACTTTTTTTTAAACTATTAACTCTCTTAACTATGTATTTGCATCAATTTGATTTCCCTTTTTCGAATTGGCAAAAATAGCAGAAAAACAAGAAAGGAAGCTTGCTTCGGCGAGCCGAAGCTAATATGTACAGTAGAATCCGGTTATAACGACTTTCAAGGGACCGACCATTTTTCGTCGTTATAACCGGAAGACGCACTAAGCAACAGGAGGAAAAAAATATATATTTTTGGATTATTTTATGGTTGCTGTGTTTGTAATAGGTTTTTAAAATAATTCAAATTAATTTTTTAATTAAAACGAAAAATTTAATAAATTAAATTCAAAAACATAGGTTTTTCTAAATACTGAAAACTGAATGAGATTATTATTGCACATATTGCATTTGGCAAATTAAAACATTCAGTTTTCTCGGAAAAAAGCAGAAAAAACTAGAAATATAACGGCACATCTCATGGAATAGACTATGAGGTCTGCACACACAGTGTGACGTCGGCATTGCACTTCGACTCTCTCCCTCTCTCTCTCTCTCGCAGCAACGATGTTAAGGCGACAGCTAAAACTAACAAAGAGTAGTGACAATGTAAGATCCTTCATGTCGCTGCTACGCACACAAGCATGGGTGCCGATCACTAATAAATACATACATTTCTAACAGCGTGTTTTGATGCTTAAATTTGGCACTATTGCAATGTATTTTTTTTCTGCACGACGCAATATCCGGTAAAATGTTTCAATTTCCTTGAAAAATTTTGTTCGTATAAGCGACAAACCGCTAAAAGCGGAAACGCTCTAAGCGGAGGCCCTTTCATATAAGTTTGTATGGGGACCAACCAAACCATCGAGTTTTCGTCGCACAACCCGGACGGACACTATAAGCGGAGTCGTTATAAGAGGATTCTTCTGTATATGGTATAGTCGTCCGAAATTTAATTAAATATTCAACAGTCGTTAGAAAACTCTATATTCCAAAATTCATGTCTGTTATGTCCAGTGGCGGATTTACCGTGTAGGCAACATAGGCAGCTGCCTAGGGCGGCAAATTTTAGGGGCGGCAAATTTCGACTGTTAACACTACATAAAATACTACTTTTTAATAGACACAAAAAATTTTTACTCTAAGGTCTTCAACTCTAACATATTGTTCAATATACTTCTTTTCGCTGCCGCGAACACGCGAAAATTCAAACGCACAATCATTATAACCGAAAATTACCGTGCGTTTGAATTTCCCGCGCGTTCGCGGCAGCCATCTTCGCGCCAATTCGCGAAGGTACGCTCCCGATGTGACCAGGCTCGTGTTATTGTTGTGAAGACATATGTGTGCAATATCGGGCAATCACATTGTTGAAAATGTGTCAATCGTAAAAATTTCTTTTAAGTTTTCATCAATTTGAATTGAAAGATCCATATATCGATAAAGAGAATAGTTATTTTTTAACTTTCAATAAAAATGAGTGACGGGCGAAATCGATTAAGCGGTGCCGAATATCGCAAGCAAGCCGTAAAAAGAAAAATAAAAGATGACGAGGTTATAGCAAAAACCAAAAAACTGTCCTCGTATTTCACGCTTCACGGAAGTCAAAGTGATGCGGGTAGTTCGAGTAGTTCGACCGTTGCTGAAAAAAAGCCAAATTTCTTTCGTTTTCTTGTTTGAAACAAAATCGCTTGAATTCTTTGGCTTTGTTGACAATAGAAGCGGAAGTTTTACGTGAGGTAGAATGCGATGCAATCATTTCTGATTTTGCGATTCGTAAAGCACGACGTAAGAACACATAAACCGAATAAACGCACAAACCACTGATATGAAACAACCGAATAAACGAACAAACGCACAGATATACAAATACTTATGTTAATATGTACAACTGACAAAAAAGATGATATTAAAAAAGAATTCTGAACCATCACTACCTGCTTCTCTAATTGAACCCATATTCCTAATGTGGAAATTCATGCAAACGTGTAACACAAGGTCAATAAAACAATGATATAAAGGTGAAAATTAGGCTGCAGTCTAGGGCGGCAAAATCAAAACTGCCTATGGCGGCAAATTGTCTTAATCCGCCCCTGGTTATGTCTGTCAATTTCTTTCCGATGGTGTTTTTGACTACTACCGCATTTTGAATTAAATTTCATAAAAATCGGATATATACTATATTATATAGCTGTCATATGAACAATCGTCGGAAATATAGAAACTTCATAGAAAAATCGATGTATCTATGAAAAATCTATGTATTTGGCTCGAAATATTATATTTGGTGTATAGCTTGGGCTCTTCTTGTTTTCTTATTTTTTGCCCCGCTCGTATTATGTACGCAGTTTATTTTAAAATATCGCTTTTATGGGTTAAACGGATTGTATACATACTTATTTCGGGAAATCAAATCGTTCTTTATACTATACTCATTTAATCATTAAACTGGATTCATACTCTGTGAATAATGAACATCTATAATAGCACTGACGAATTGTTGATGATTAAGAATTTTTGACCACACCTGAGTTGTATTTTTTTGTTGGGCTCATCCTCTGGTAACAGCTTCTTGGTTCTGGCCATTTTGTAGGCGCAGAATTTTTTTTTTTTTTTTTAATGCTTTGCTTATTTATTGAATCTTCTCCTTACGAGACTAACAATAAGTGTATCAAATCTTATACTATAACTTAACTATCAGTCATATAGACTGGAACAGTAAAAATGGCCCTGACAATTTATGGCTGGGTTGGAAGGTCTTTACGTTGCAGGCGGGTTCTTCTGGAAACCCGAGTCAGATCCCTTGCGAGAAGATTTGGGTGGGCTGAGTTTTTCCTTGTATGACGCTTTTTGCTTCTCTATTTCATCTTTTACTGCGAGAATGCCAAGGTCCCTGTAGATGTTTTGGTTTCGAATGTACCATGGTGCCCCGGTGATAATTTTCAGGATCTTTGCTTGAGCGCGCTGTATGATGTCTATGTTAGTTTTGCTCGCGTTCCCCCAGAGCTGGGAGCCATACGTCCAGATTGGTTTAAGAGTGGAGTTGTAGAGCAGTACCTTGTAGTCCAGACACATGGGCGATCGGGCGTTTATAATCCAGTGGAGGCTGCTGGCTTTTAGTTTTAAATGTAGTTTCTTGCATTCGATGTGTCTACGCCATGTTAGACGTCTGTCGAGGTGGACGCCGAGATACGTTACTTCGTTGACTTGGGGGATCATTGTGCTATTCAAGTGGATCGGAGGGCATGTTTGTCTGTTGAGAGTAAACGTTACGTGCTTACACTTCTGTTCGTTTATTTTGATACTCCAGTCGGATAGCCACTTCTCTACTACCGTGAGGTGGTTGGCTAATTGGGATGTTGCACGGACTGGGCATCTGGAGCGGCTGAGGATCGCAGTATCGTCAGCGAAGGTGGATGTTAGTAGTCGGTCGCTCGTGGGAATATCCGCTGTGTAAAGGACGAATAGAGTTGGTCCAAGTGCGCTTCCTTGTGGGACTCCAGCTTCGATTTTATAGTTTTCGGATGTTGTTGTGTTGCACCTCACTGCGAAGACTCTGTTGTAGAGATACGACTCGAGTAATTTGTGAGTGTACCCGGGAAAGTGTGTTTTAATTTTATGCATAAGACCGGTGAGCCAGACGCGGTCGAATGCTTGGGATACGTCGAGGAATATCGCGCTGCAGTATTCTCTATGTTCGAAGGCTGTGCGAATCTCTGATGTTATTCTGTTGACTTGCTCGATAGTTCCATGTTTTTCTCTTAAGCCAAATTGATGGGCTGGGATAATATTATGAGCTCCCATATATGGTAAAATGCTTGTTAGAAGGCATTTTTCGAACAGTTTGGACAGGCATGATAATAGACTTATTGGTCTGTAAGAGGACGGTATCGTGTGATCTTTTCCGGGCTTCGGTATCATTATAATTGTTGACTTTTTTCATTTTTTTGGGTAGTAGCCAAGACATATGATCCCATTGAAGAGTTTACAAATGACCTCAATAGCACAGTTTGTAAGTTCAATTATCATTTTTGGAGTTATTTGGTCACCGCCGGGAGCCTTTTTCGCTTTTAGCCCCCGAATGACTTTGGTGATCTCGTTCGGTCGAAATGGTGTTATTGTAGATTCACTTTCAGTTTGGATTTGTGGTAGAACAAAAGAACTTGCAGCGGGATTCGGTTGGAAGACGCCCCTGAGATGTGAGGCAAATGTTTCGGCTCTGTCTGTGTCGCTGCGCGCCCAGTCACCTGAAGAATTTCTTATCGGGCAGACGGTTTCGACCGGA